AATTGGATATTGTTTTTTCATTTCCACTTCATATAAAGAAAACACTAATACTACTATACAGAACTTGGAATCTCATAGCCCATTGCAACGTCAAACGAAACAGCATCTTTCAATGTCTGCCAAAAAATGTGTGTCCAAGTAAAATTACTATATATAAAAGTAAGCTATGTCTAAATTGTATGCATGTACGGGAACTTTGGAGGGTCATTCTTGATCTAATGTTTCAAGAATATGGTAAATGTCACCATCTGCGAATGCTGTACTTCCCTTCGATGTTGAGTTTCAGTAGAGGTTGTGGTTAAGATCATTTTTCTTTTAGCGTCAGCGTGTCTATAACTTTTCAAACCAGTGTACTTGCCCCCCTTTTTTCTTTTCTGCATGATAATGATATGCAGTATGCCTGCAAGCTCGAGAAAAAAAAGGAATACTCTCCTTAAAAAAAATTAATGCACATATCATTTACATGCTCACATAGTTTAGTTTCTCAGTGCTATGGTCAAATTGGTCTTGATGTGCACAAGAAGCGTAGTATGCAGGGAAGATCGTGTACGTGAGCAGAGAGCATGGGATAGAAAAGAGTCTGGGATAGATAACCTTGAAGCTGCGTACAATGTCCCTTCAAGGATTTGTTTGTTTAGATCCACGACAACTTGGGCAGACCGATCTCAAACTTGCACTAAACAAGGCCCCCTTTCCAAAGAGGTTTATGTCATAGAAGATGCTGCTGCTGCTGCTGTCGGTGCTCTCGACAAAGCTGATAATGCACTGGGAACCACAAAATTTTCCAGCTTGGCATCACTGTGAGTGCTTAATCTTTTTATTAGTTGGCCAATTTATATAAATTCACCGATGAGACTAGGGATTATCCAACCTTCGGCATGTTTCAGATCAGCATGCAGCACAACTTTGCGCTGGATGGTTTTGGTCACCAGATGGTTTTCTTGGGGAATTTGTTACTGCAACAACAACAACAACAACAACAACAACAAAACATTTAAGTCCCAAACAAGTTGGGGTAGGCTAGAGTTGAAACCCAGCAGAAGCAATCAAGGTTCAGGCACGTGAATAGCTATTTTCCAAGCACTCCTATCTAAGGCTAAGTCTTTAGGTATATTCCATCCTTTCAAGTCTCCTTTTATTGCGTCTATTCAAGTCAACTTCGGTCTTCCTCTGCCTCTCTTCACGTTACTATCCTGACTTAGGATTCCACATATTCCATCCTTTCAAGTCTCCTTTTATTGCGTCTATTCAAGTCAACTTCGGTCTTCCTCTGCCTCTCTTCACGTTACTATCCTGACTTAGAATTCCACTACGCACCGGTGCCTCTGGAGGTCTCCGTTGGACATGTCCAAACCATCTCAATCGGTGTTGGACGAGCATTTCTTCAATTAGTGCTATCCCTAATCTATCACGTATATCATCGTTCCAAACCTGATCCCTTCTTGTATGACCGCAAATCCAACGCAACATACGCATTTCTGCGACACTTATTTGTTGAACATATCGTCTTTTCGTAGGCTAACATTCTGCACCACACAACATAGCAGGTCTAATCGCCGTCCTATAAAACTTACCTTTTAGTTTCTGTGGTACCCTTTTGTCACATAGGACACCAAATGCTTGGCGCCACTTCATCCACCCTGCTTTAATTCTATGGCTAACATCTTCATCAATATCCCCGTCTCTCTGTAGCATTGATCCTAAATATCGAAAGGTATCCTTCCTATGCACTACTTGACCTTCCAAACTAATATCTTCCTTCTCCCGAGTAGTAGTGCCGAAGTCATATCTCATATACTCAGTTTTAGTTCTACTGAGTCTAAAACCTTTGGACTCCAAAGTCTCCTATCATAACTTCAGTTTCTGATTCACCTATATCCGACTTTCATCAACTAGCACTACATCGTCCGCGAAAAGCATACACCAAGGGATGTCTCCTTGTATGTCCCTTGTGATCTCATCCATCACTAAGGCAAACAGATAAAGGCTCAAAGCTGACCCTTGATGTAGTCCTATCCTAATCGAGAAGTCATCCGTGTCTCCATTACTTGTTCGAACACCAGTCACAACATTGTTGTACATGTCCTTAATGATCCCGACGTACTTCATTGGGACTTTATGTTTGTCCAAAGTCCACCACGTAACATTTCTTGGTATTTTGTCATAAGCCTTCAAGTCAATAAAAACCATGTGTATGTCCTTCTTCTCCCTATACCGCTCCATAACTTGTCTTATTAAGAAAATTGCTTCCATGGTTGACCTACCGGGCATGAAACCAAATTGGTTCATAGAGACCCGCGTTATTGCTCTCAAGCGATGCTCGATAACTCTCTCCCATAGCTTTATAGTATGGCGCATCAACTTAATTCCCCGGTAATTAGTACAACTTTGAATATCCCCTTTATTCTTGTAGATCGGTACCAATATACTTCTCCGCTTGTCAGGCATCTTGTTCGATCGAAAAATATGGTTGAACAACTTGGTTAGCCATACTATAGCTATGTTCCCGAGGTATCTCCACACCTCGATTGGGATACCATCCGGTCCCATCGTTCTACATCCTTTCATCCTTTTCAACGCCTCTCTGACCTCAGATTCTTGGATTCTCCGCACAAAGCGCATATTGGTGTCATCAAAAGAGTCATTCAACTGAAAGGTTGTGTCCGTATTCTCACCATTGAACAATTTATCAAAATACTTTTGCCATCGATGTCGGATCTCATCCTCCTTCACCAAGAGATGCTCCATTTCATCCTTAATGCACTCAACTTGGTTGAAGTCCCTTGTCTTTCTCTCACGAACCCTAGCCATCCTATAAATGTCCTCTCCTTTCTTCGTACCCAAATGTTGATAAAGATCCTCGTACGCTCTACCCTTTGCCACACTTACTGCTCGCTTTGCAGTCTTCTTTGTCACATTGTACTTCTCTATGTTGTCCACTCCTATCATGGCACAAGTGTCTAGCATTTTTTCTTCTCCTTAATAGCCCTTTGGACTTCCTCGCCACCAAGTATCTTTAGCCTCGCCTCCACTTCCTTTGGTTACTCCACACACCTCTGAGGCCACCTTCTGGATGTTGGATGCCATCTTCTCCCACATGTTGTTTATGTCCTCTTCTTCCTTCCAAGAGCCCTCTTTGATAACCCTTTCCCTGAATATCTCTGACGTCTCCCCTTTCAGATTCCACCATTTTGTTCTTTCAATCTTAGCTTGTTTATTCCTACGAGCACGCACCTGAAAACGAAAGTCTGCCACCAAAAGCTTATGTTGAGAAACAACACACTCTCCTGGTATCACCTTGCAACCTAAGCATGTTCGTTTGTCCTTTTTTCTTGCGAGGACAAAATCAATCTGGCTAGAGTGTTGTCCGCTACTGAAGGTCACTAGATGAGATTCTCTCTTTCTAAAGAAAGTGCTGGCTATCATCAGGTCAAAAGCTACCGCGAAGTCCAGAACTTCCTCCCTCTCCTGATTCCTACTACCATATCCAAAACCTCCATGAACGCCTCGAAACCTGCGCTTGTAGTACCTACATGCCCATTAAGATCTCCTATAAAAAGCTTCTCACTACTAGGTACAGCTCTAATCAGGCCATCTAAGTCTTCCTAGAACTGTCTCTTAGCACTCGCCGAGGCCTACATGGGGGGCATACGCACTAATTACGTTCAAGACCATATCACCAATGACAAGTTTGACTAAGATAATCCTATCTCCTTGCCTTCGGACTCCCACCACACTATTCTTGAGGCTCTTATCAATCAAAACTCCTACTCCATTTCTATTCGCGATTGTCCCTGTGTACCAAACCTTGAAACCTGTATTGTCCACCTCATTCGCCTTCTGACCCTTCTATTTAGTCTCTTGAACGCATAATATATTTACACGCCTCCTAGTTGCGGTATCAACTAATTCTCTTAACTTACCTGTAAGCGACCCTACATTTCAACTACCTAAACGGATCCTAGTTGGATCGACTAGCTTCCTTACCCTTCGCACCCGTCGACTCAGATGTGAAGACCCTTGCTCATTTTTCACTACACCCGGGCGCCGATGTAGCGCGCCACTAAGGATGCGACGACCCGATCCTTGCTCACTTGACACCATGCCCAGATCGCGACACGGCGTGTCACGGGGGTGACGACCCGGCCCTTGCTCATTTAACACCATACCCGGGCTCCGATATGGCGCGTCGCTAAGAGGGTTACGTCCCAACGGTCTTCTTTCGGGTTTTATCTCCATTAGAATGGCTAGATTTAACGTTGGCTCGCCACACCTATCATAACCCTCCTTCTTTACCAGAGCTTGGAACCTGCTATGTTAGAGACAACATAGGCGGAGTTGGGAATTTGTTACTGGATACTTTGAAATTTGGAATCAACCTGTAATATGTGTTTTCAGCACTCTTTTCTTAATTAGTTGAATGGCACTATGGCAGGGCTCCTGCCATTTTTGTTAAAAAAAAAAACTTTGTGTTTAGTCTACTGACTCAAGTCATGCTTCCTAAAACTTGGTGATTATTTGGTTGTAATGTGCTATTTTCATGGTTACAGGGAGGGCCCCACTTTTGATCTACTGCCTCAAGAAGAGTAGGGAGATAAGACAATGCTGCATTGCAAACGGTATACAGTTAAATGCACTTTATGCTTCATTTGTGCTAAATCAATTGAAATCTGGAAATTAAGTATTAGTTAGCTGAAATGTGCATTGTCTTGCTTACATATGCAGTCTGCATCAGCTCTTGGACCAGCGGAGACATAATGCAGCCGCTCATGAACCAAAATACTAACAGAGCAGCATCAAGCCATTAGCAACTAGGCGGTTCTACCTAATGTAATGTTGTAACATAGAGACTATCAAATATATAAAGGTACGATCTCAACTCCGAAGACATCCAGGCTGCAATCCAAGAACAATACCAGCTTACAGTAAACCTCCAAGACATCTCGCCTTATGGCCCCGATTTTCTAATAAAAGCACCAACATCAGCGGCCTATGTCACAATGCTATCTGGAGGGTCTCTGAACATGACTACCTTCCACTTTGCTTTCGCCCTCGTCCTAATGCCATGGACAATTGGCTCCACCACAATACCATTACAGAAACACATGCACTTCACTGCCAATCCAGTGCATCCACAGAATTCGCCGCCACACAGTCCTACCGACATCAATGTGCAGATCGAAGTCACCGGCATCCCAGCTCGCCTTTGCAACAACAACACAGTAACCCAGCTGCTAGGAGATTCCTGCCAAATCAATCGCATTACCTTTAAACACTACACATGTTTTGTTGAGGGCCACACAGCAAACCTTGGGGATATTCCATACAACGCTATGTTGGGTGTCAAAAAGAGTACACAGCAAGGAAATCTTCTCACTGTATGGCCAGTATGGTATAAATTCATAGAGATGTTTCCCTTCTGCGACATCCAGAAAGCCCACAGCTTCCTCTAGTACCAGAAGAAGGTAACTAAAACTGTACCTAGATCCCATAGAGTAAATTTGCGATTCCAATGGTTGTATTACTCAAGACTTTAATCAACATTGTGAGTTTCATCTGCTAACCCATCTTGGCCTCTCAAAACCAGAGAGGTGTTGACTGCAACGACAAAATTCCAGCAGACTACGGCGAGCGTGACTGAGACATTTCTCCACTTGACAGCTCAGGTATAATAGAGATGACTTTTACTGCTCTCTGATATGATAAGATAAAACTAACCCAAACTATAATTGAGACTACATACTCTCACACTTGACAGGTTACATATCCGGATGCAGTCACCACACTGAATGCATGTGCCGCTACCAAGAATCAGGCATATTCTTTATCCATTTACATTACTTACCACTATGTACCGATTCACAAAGAAAATACTATTAACACACTCAATTTTACTAACAGATTAATCCACCAACGCCAGCTGATCTTCCATGGACGTAGATGCTCCAGGCCACCGACTAAGCTTCTGAAATCATAATCAATGTCCATGTGCCAAATATGTATAATTATTGTACCAGACACTCTGTATGTAAACCAATGTGCCACTACTACCTACGGCATCGCACAATGTCGAAAACTACCGGGTACCAGCTGTACCTGTGCCACTTATTAGAACGACCTGTCTAATGATTAGTGCCTAATCTATCGTGTTAAATATTTGTCCATCTGAGGATGAATCTTCGTGCATGAATCCCACCACATCTCCAATCAACCCAATCTCCAAGATCCTAAATGCAGGTGCGCGCGATGGCACACGCCCCTCCACTGGTGTTATATACTAGTCCATGACGCGCGCCCTCGCGTCCGCCGGCAAATCACCTGGTTAAGGCACATGAATTTTTTTTAATCTTTGCATGGAAACAATCTTAGGACTTTAATGTAAAGGACTGTTGGTCCAAACTGAAAGGTTGGGCTGATGAACATCGTATGATGGACGATTTCTGCTCCAGCGCTGTAAGTACAAACACTGAAAATTAGCAGGAGATTAGCAGGAGGTAGTTCCTGTGCTTTCAATTTGGACTATGTAAACCACCAACCAACATAAACAGTAAATGAGAAAATATACTAATTTAAATTGTCTTAGATTATTATATATGGAACCTGCAGTAGCAGAGTCTTGGAAGAAGCATATGAAGCTAGGCAAAAAGGCACGGGAATTACAGAGTGTAGCAAAGGAATGGCATACTAAGCAATAGCTAGAATAAACCTCATCAAGTTTGCATTAGTTTAAAAAAAGCAAGCGTGAATGTGAAGCCGATAAAGAAAGACAAGATTGAGAATCAATGAAACCACGAAAGATGTACTTCATTAGGTGTGGTGTACACGACATCTTAGATGTCCAAATTTGTTAAAAAAACTAAAATGATAGATGTGTCGATTAGCTGACCTCTATCTAATGGTATATACATCAACGTAAAAGCTATATCTGGTGGTTGCTTGTACCAATTAGCTGATCCCCAAAACAAAAAAGCAAGCTGTTGGAAAAGGTTGGCAAATCAAATATACATGAGCACCTTAAGACCCATACCTTTTTTTGTGTCAATTCATCAATTTAACTTCTGGTGTGGCTGAAATATGCTTCAAACTGACAATTTTGACCTGAATATATAGGCACAAGATAGCGATCAGGTCATGTAACAAGTTACCTCACAGATATGATTGTAGTAATGTGATAGTGATATGGTAGCAGTGTAAAAAAGGTACATATCAGACTGAAGGTTGACTAAGAATGAACGACAAGGACATCTAACATGTACCAAATAAACATGGTCACCCATAGTAATTAGGAAGGGGCGTTCTAACAGATTGAAGGCTAATATGAACTGTAAAAATAACATAGTTAGATCTGGAAAGAACATGCGTGTACCAGAGAAAGCAACAACAATTGGCAAATGAGAAACCTACTTGTATACGATGAATCACTGAATATGTACAGAAAACAGCCTCACATGGAATTGAAGCATCATAGCCAAATCTAATCACAGGCTGCTCCTATGCAGACAGGGGAAAAAATAGGAAATTGAAGGGCCATTTGGAGGACGAGAAACCATGACTAGAGCGTAGGTTAATAGCTGGATTAGAACTAAATTACAAAGGAAAGATGTAAAGAAAAAAAGAGAACTAATCAATGATGAAAGGTAGAAGCACGATCAAGGCGCAATGTTTATGTGAATAACCGTAAAAATGTGAATCCAGGGAATAATTTACAGCCATAGATTGAGGCTGTAACACAGAGAACAGAAAACTGAGAAAAGTAGAAGAGGCTGTAACACAGAGAACAGAAAACTGAGAAAAGTAGAAGCACAATCAAGGCTGCAGTATAGAGCAAAAAAAATACAGATAAGAGCAGGAGCACAATCTACTTACCTTAAGAAAGCAGAAGGAAGAAATCATGTGTATTAGCAGAACTACTATAAAAAAACCCCAACACACTGATTAGTCCCTCGGAAGCAACCAACAGCTACACAGCTGCGAAAGACATGAACCCGCGAAAAGATATATCTGTAACAAACTATGATAGAGGTTATTTTAAAAGGAAATTGACTGTCCATAGCAACAGCATATGTGCATGATTGTCAAGACAGGCTCCCCACAATCCGCAGAATGACAAAGAGACCAACAAATTATGGTTGTGCTTGTCTTCAACCTGGACGTAGGAAGGCATAGATGTTAATTTTGTTTTCTACTGAAGTATAAGTGTCGGACAGTCACAGAGCTGGCACAACGGAAAATTATGGATGTAACCATATACATGCAGCGAGCGGCACCGTTGAACGACAGAGGAAACCTAAGAAGACAAGAATAGAAATATACTGTAAATGTAAAACAAAAATCTGAAAGGTAATGCCGCAGCGCTACCAAACCCAATCTAATTAGCAAAAGAGCAGATGCCAGCGGAGAAATGAGCTACAAACGACAAATTAAAATATGGAAACAAACTAATCAGCACCTAGTAGCACCCTCAAATGCCGCAAACAGGAAATCTAAGAAGAGAAGCATACCAATACACTATAAATGGAAAAACAAAAAATATGAAATTAAGCTAATTAAGCAGCACCTACTAAACCCGATCTAATTAGCATAGAGCAGAGGCCTACGCCAGCGGACAAATGCGCTATAAATCATGAATAGGAAAATCTGAAAACAAATTAATTAGCACCTAGTAGCACGCTCCAACACTGGAAACAGGAAACCTAAGAAGACAAGCACACAAATATACTGTAAACGAAAAACAAAAATATGGAAGGTAACCAAGCAGCACCTACCAAACAAAGTGTAATTAGCAAAGAGCACAGGCAAACAGTATGGCAGCGGACAAACGCGCTATAAATCACAAACTAAACCTTGGAAACCAACTAATTAGCACGTAGTAAACCAAAGTCAGTTAACAAAGAACAGAAGCCAATTTTGCATACACTGAAATAAAATACTAAGCATGGGAAATATCAATAAACTTGAAACATTCGTCTTCGTCCTTTTCTTTTGCGTGCCCTCTGTAAGCAAAACGTTGTAAACCAATCCTATTAGCAGAAAACAAAGTTAATATTGCAAACAACCCTGTGAGATGCAACCTTAATGTAGGCCGTTGCCATCGGCACTCTCTATATAAGGAAACTTGGCATGCATCTTGTACATGAAAATTTTTCAATCGAACAAAACAAGGAACCGTACATTGTGAATCAGGCGGAAACGGCAAACCTTGACGAAAACATGGATCTGGTGTGACGACGACGGCGGGGTTCACTAGCGTCAACTGCAACGACGACGGAGGCCGCCTGTACCGGGGGCGGCTCGTGGCGATGGTGCCGCGGCGGAAGCCGGCCGCACGGGGAGGCAGCACGCGCCACGCGCCAGGCCATGGTTGTCCCGTCAACAGGTCCGGCCGTGCCATGCCAGGTTGGTGCGCGGGGGGCCTCCCTAGGGTTTGCGGCACGCCGGGGGCCGTCCGGAGGCACAGGAGCGGCGGAGCCACGACGCTGGAGAGGGCGCAGCGCCGACGCGGGTGAAGGGGAGGGGGGCAGCGCCGGCGCTGGGAGAGGCGAGGAGGAGGAAGGAACAGGGTGGAGCGACAGAGACGAGAGAGCGGCGGAGGAACGGAGGAGATGAGCGATGCCGTGGCCTGGAGAGAGACTGGACACGATGGAGCGATATTTTTCCATGGCCATTCATCTACTGACGCGTGGGCCTGTATAGTAGAGGAAAGGTGGGGTAAAACAGAACCACTAGATGCAAATCAGACGACATTTATTAATTCCGCTAACGTGGCCACCCTGAGGAGGCGACCGAGACAAACTATTATATACATATATACTGTTTTGCTATAATACACCTGGGTGCATCCTGTATATAGAATGCACCCAGGCCGGCGGCCGCACCAACTTGGAGCAACCAGCGCACCCAAGCGAATACATGCATGCATGGAAGTTTTTGTTGGTTCAAATCTTTGAAACAAATTTTCTCCTAAACCGTAACACCGATCGACAAACCGTTTGTTGCATCTGACTCAAAAAAATATTCTGAGCAAAACTAGATCCAATATGGATATATTTTTTATCCTTTAAGCAAGTTGCATGTTAATGTACTATCGATTGCAACTCTGTCTACCACCTAGTTGCAACTAGATATAACTCTGTGTATTATATGCATCTGGTCACTATAATCACTCCAAGTTGAATTTCTGAGTTGCAATCAGTGCTAAATACGCTACAGCCAAGTTGCAATTGTGTTGTAGAAGTGCTTGCAACTCATAGTGCAACATATTGCAATTACGTATTTAAAAAAAACTTCATCAAATACAGCCTTCATTGCAACCAGTGCTAAATACGCTACAGCCAAGTTGCAATTGTGTTGTAAAAGTGCTTGCAACTCATAGTACAACATATTGCAATTACGTATTTGAAAAAAAAAACTTCAAATACAGCTGTCGGGGACCTAATACCGGGGTACTCAAGGA